AAAAGTGGTTTTCCTGCGGTTGCATCACTGGTTACTGCTTAGAGACATGGCAGCAAGTGGAAGGAGACTGCCTAAAGAGGGAACTAACATACTATTACAACACACTGTTGGTGGTGTAATAGGGCCTTTAGATCTCTCAAACCAATCCTGTAAGGTATTTATTTATTAATACCCCCATTTTGTTGATGAAAACTTTGAGGTTCCAAAGAGCTACATAACCTGTGCAAGTCATAATGTTAATCAGCATTCAAACTGGTATTCAAATCCATGTCTTCTGACCTCATGTGTGGTAGCAATCGTGGAGCACCAAGCCAGGCCTCTTTCCACTCTATATTTTTCTCATTAGTACTTGCTAAGTGTTCTACTGCCCTGAACAAAAATAAATCATACTAAGTGCATCAGTGGAAAAATCCATTCAAGACTAAAATATTTTAAATATAATATCTTTGTTCACTATGACATAAATACATAAATCCTACTGTTACTGTGGTTACTAATGGAAAAAATATTTTATACAGTTGACTGAAACCAGTGATATAAAAATAGGAGACTATGTAAACTAGAGATAAAAAGTACCTATTATTTGCTTATTTTTTTGCTAAAGTATACCATACTAGTTCTGAGCATCCTGTATTTTATCATTTTTATGGAAATCTTCCATAACCAAACGTAAAGCTCATACATACACTATATACACAAAATGAAACTACTGTTTATAGGTAATTAAGTGGGACCTAAAAAAAATCTATAAACCAACCCCCCACCAAATATAATGATGAACATATAAGGCATTTACTACATGCCAGGCAACGTTAGGGTTTAGGTACTATTAACACTCCCTAAGAGTTCTACCAGGTAAGTCCTTATTAATGTACAAATGAAGAAATTGAGACACAGAATGATTAAATAACTTGCTTGGGATCACACAGAAGCAAAGCAAGCTTGAGAGTCTGTGGTCTTAAGCAGTGTCACACTACCTCTCATATGAGAGAATGGACAGATCTCATCCATTTTACTCTACAACCAAGAACCTCATATGCACCCTGCTCTTGTCAACATCCTGCTCCAGAACCTTCAAGGGACACTTAATAGAATACTGTCCAATTAATACTTTAATTAGCATTTAAGGTCCTCCCAACTGTTACTCAAGTCTACTTTCCATTATTCTGACTCTGGTCACAAAGATTTTCCTTTTCCTACTTATTGTCAACAGAGCTACATAGTCTACTTCCATTCTGCCCCCAGTTTGCTCCTTCAGAAATACCCTCCCAATATAATTGCATTCTAGTTATTTTCCAGAGCCCATTAAAATCCTAGTCCCAAGAAGCCTTTGAAACTGTTCCATTTACTATGATATGGACCTGAAATTCCATTCAAAGCACTTACAGACTATCTTTACTAGGTCTATATACCCATTCCTTTGACCTACTCACACTATAACTTATTTCAAAGCAGGTTGAGTCCAGTGCAGTACCCAGCACAATAATGCTCAATAATTGCTGATGGTGACTCCCAACTCTGGTTTAAAAATACCTGTAGATATTACCAATCATCTCAAAAGATTTAACATTTGTTTTAAACAAAGTTCAACAAAGACAGCACAGTATTTTAAAAGGATGACAAGAATAGCTCAATGCCCTTTACGTTGGGCCTTAGCTTAAACAGACATCTGAGTTTAGAAGCCCATTTCTCTTGCAGTTGATATGATGATGTCTAGACAGCTACTTGGAGCATAAGAAGTTACAGAAAGTTTCTATGAAGAGGGGACAAGAGCAAGGCTGGCAGACATTCTTGCACTGCTTTTCTTTATTCTATAAACTATAGGTGAGTTGATTTGATACTTTAGAACCCAGATCATTTTTAAAGTCTTCTGCATCAATTAGATTTCAAAATGACACACAGTAAAGAGAATGAAATAATAATCTTACACATTTGTTAACAATTATAATGTCGACATTATAAAAAATGTAAATTTGCTATTGTTTTCTTATAACATGATATGGAATAAAGTGTAGAACAACAATTTCCATTTAAAAAGTCTTCTGGTATGGGAATGTAGCTCAGTGGTAAAGTGCTTCCCAGCATGTCACCCCCCCCCCATCTGTTTCAGATATTTATTAACATTTATCAAAATTTTGGGTATCTACCTCCTAAACAGAAAAATAATTTCTCACACAAATTGGCAACAAAACCGCAAGTAAATTGGCACAAACAGAAGTCCCTTATTATTACATTAAGCTTGTAATATGTTCTAATTTGCAAGAATTAAAGTTTCTCAGGATGAGACTGAGGTCATTGATGTAAAACTTAAAAACATCTCACTATGGAATAAATTCCATGTTCTGTTCCTTGCCAGAGATCAGAAAATATACAACTTCCTAACAAATAAGGTAGTTTTGAGTTTTCGTATTCTGAAACAGTGAAGTATTTAAACAGTACATAAAAGAATAAAGGCATAGTGTACTAGAGTTACAAATTCTTGAATTTGTATACAGACGATTTGTATACAGAGGGCAAACTGAAACAATTTAATATTATCCACTGTAACAGACTTACTTAAAAATATATTAAAATCCTTAGGCACAGTGGCCCACCCACATCTGTAATTCCATTGACATGGAAGACTGAGGCAGGAGGATCACGAGTTCAAAACCAACTTCAGCAATTTAGCTAGGCCCTAAGCAACTAAGTGAGGCCCTGTTTCTAAATAAAATTAAAAATGGGCGAGGATGTGGCTCAGTGGTTAAATGCTCCTGGGTTCAATCCTAGGTAACAAAACAAACAAAAAAAAAAAAATCAAAATCAAAACAAGGCCATACTACAGCTCTTGTGACAAATTTTGATTTGAAAATTCTTATTTTTTCTGATGGCCCTGATGTTAAAATAGAGCTCATTTCAATCAAGACCAACATTAATAGCATTGTTCACATTACATAACTGTTTAAATCAATCACTTTATCACATCCAAGGATGTAAATCAAAAGGTTAAAAACTTTCATTAAAGGTTTCTCGGGTGTACGAGTTCTTTTGGAGCTGGGGATGTGGCTCACGCGATAGCGCGCTTGCCTGGCATGCGTGGGGCTCTGGGTTCGATCCTCAGCACCACATAAAAATAAAATAAAGATGTTTTGTCCACCGAAAACTAAAAAATAAATATTTTTTAAAAATTCTCTCTCTCACTCTCTGGAAAAAAAAAAAAGATTTCTCATTTTACTCTGCATTACAACATTACAATACTAAATGGTCTGACCCCATGACCTGGGGCTGGTTCTCAGGAAGGCTCATTTATTTAGGTTCTGCCTGTGTCACTTAAATCATTCACTTAAATTCTCAAAATCTCTATTTGCATAAAAAGTGAACTAGATGATTTTTAAGGTCCCTTTAATAACACAAGTCTAAATCTTCAAAAAAATTTAGAAATGTGTTGTTTAAAATCTTTCATAAACATTTACACTTTCTCTCTCTTGAAAAAGTAATAATATGAAGGTATGATTACCTGAGGAAAAACTGTATCCATCCCAATAATTTCCTTAAGGGCCTGCCACAACAAATGTGGTCCTATTGTAACACCCCTAGCTAGACAAGGGCTGTTAGGCACTGAACAAATCTGGGGTATAGGAAAGGGCAATGATATATCTGTGATTTTTTTTTTTTTTTTTAAAGAGGAAATGAGGCCTGTTTACTTACTCACCCAACTTTTTAAACAATTTCATCCAAAAACTGATTACATTTTACTTGATTCATATTTCAATCAAATACTAATAGACTGGACTGAAAGTTATACCATTTATGTGACTAATCTCAATAAAAATGATTTTAAATGATGCATTGTTTTGAAATTGAGAAAATATCTGTCACTGCTGTTTTTAATGTTCTATGACATCCTCTCTTGACTCAGTTCATACTTTCTCCCTTAACCCAAACTGACAGGGCTGTTACACTTTTGTCAAAAGATGAATCTTTTATTCTCCTTCAAATTTAATATCACTTCAAGTTGGGTCAGATCAATGAAAATTATGTCAAATAATGCATAATAGTCTCAAGAGAAAGATTTGAGGACATAAGTGTGTATCTTCCACATAGTCACAGCTGCAAAGGAAGTGCATTACCTAACTCTACTTAAATTACCTATGTGGCTTGGTCATCCCAGAATTATCTAAACTCTAAATAATATTATATATAATGTTTAGAGTAATGAGTTCAGTAGGTATAAAACTTCTACTTCTAAAAAATGACCTGCTGTGGAAACAAAATTCCTAGTTTACCATCCTGGAACTCTGTTACTTAGTAGCTATATGACTTTATACCCAACATCATGTCTAACAGTAATTGGCTTTACAGGTGCATATACTTACCACATAAATTCCTAGAGGGCAAGGTCTGCTTTTCACACAATAGCTAACACTCTACATGTGTTTTCTCATTAACCATCACAACTATTACCCATTTTAAAAGTGAAAAAAATGACATTTTGAGAAGTTAAACTCAAGATCATAGCTAACATGTTGCCAATCTGGGACTTCCACTCAGATTTGCCTGACCCCTTATCTCATTCTCTGGAACCAAGCAAGTTACCTAGCAGTAAAGTGTATGAATCCCCTTCAGGAATGACTAATCTTTGGTCTTTGTGATTGTCAGATTTTGTATTTCCAGAATCAAAGGACTTAATGACTTTTGGTTTACCTTCGTATTAGTCAGTGGGGTGCTTTAATTTTAATAATCCTAAATGAGTTCCTGAGTTTATCTTTAAAGTTCTCCAGTTATTGCAGCAGTTTCGTCTTACTTCATTTACCTTTATTGGGTTCCTACTGAACACAAATAGTGTACAAGGAAATACCAGGATCAAAAAAAAAAAAAAAATGCCCCTTTGGGTAGTGAAAGCTACCACAAAAATCAAAGTATGGAATTTTTAATTTATCATACAGAGCATGAACTGTTTCCAACAAGGCTTAACTCAAATGATTTTCAAAATCCTCAGCCCATGGCATTTTAGTACCTACCTGTATGCTACAGCACTTAGCAGTCAGCCTTGTTAAATTCCAGTTTACTCACAGATACCTCCACAATGCAATCGACAACGTTTTCCATCAGTTCGTCAATATTCACTGATTATCTGTCCTATTAACAAACAAGGAGTCCTGTCCCCAGAAACTGGCAGCCACAGGCCTCTGACTTTTCTTTAAAGTTCCCCACCCCTGTATGAAGTCGCTACTCTAGCGGCCACTGCTCCACTGGAGTGTGAACTTGAAGGGATTCCAAAGAGACCAGACTGCACACGTTCAGAGCGGATAATCGCCGGGGCGCGGAATGGATAGTAAGCTTAGCAGCCCCGCCGCCCCGGGACCGGCGCGAGCTCCCGTCACACTCGCCGCCTCCCGAGAAGCTGCGACCCACGCGCTCACAGCCCGCCCTTCCGTGCCTGCGGCGTTCCGCAAGAGGCCGGGTTCAGAACTAGGCCTAGAGCGAAGTTCGCTCCCGCTCCCGGAAGGGAAAAGAGAGAGGAAATCTGAGGAGCCTCAGAACCGGTTCCAGCAACCAGGGAACAACCCAGTACCAACTCTCAACTGTGAGGCCTCACGTCTAACACGCACTAGGCGCAAGAGCCAGGGACGTGAGCCCCACCCGCCCGCGACGTCCCAGCCAATCCGGGATCCGCTCCGGTAGCCTCACGCACCGTGCACACACGCACGCAACGCGGGGACACGACCCTCCCCGCGACCGGTTGCCAGTTTCTGATTGGCTGGGATGGGCTGTGGGCTGGAGTTGGAGTAGCCGCGCGGACGGGGCGCGCGGACTGGGTACACAAGCGGGTCCGGTGGTGAAGGGTTTTGTCGCTTTCGGTAAGAGGGTCGTGAGGCGGGCATTATGAGTCGGCAAACCCGACGGCGGCCCCCAGAAAAAGCGGGCAGCGCTGGGCTGGATCTAAAGGATCTTGGGAGGTTTGGGGCCAGTGGCTGAAGGGGAGCGATGGCCGGGGCAAGGGAGGAACGTGTAGCTGGCGGCCTCGGGTCTCGCGGATCGTGGGAAGGAAGGGTCGGTAGACAAGGCCGGGTCCTTTCGGCGAGCGGATGCGGAGGCAGAGAGGTTTGAAGCAAGAGAAGTGTGAGACCCTGGGGCCCTGGGGAGGGGATGCTACTGGGGCCGGTTGTGGGGAGGAGGAGCCTGAGCACGCCCTGAGCTCGGAACCGTGTTGGGATCCGGGGCTGAGGAGGGATAGTGAGCGTGAGCGCTCCGGCCTTGGAGCCCTGACAAGGTCACGGGAAGAGAGAGGACAAGAGGGTGAAAGGTTGAGGAAAGGGCGTGGAACCAGAGGATCTTCCAACCTAGATCTTCCCTGATCCCCAGTCCGGTGTTTCCTTCCATCCTTTGCGACCCTGTCCTACCCAGTGAAGGTGAGAAGGCCTAAGGCTGGTATAAACCATCTGTAGCAGCATTAAAATTTCTTTCTGACAAGTAAACCTGCCAGTTGGAGGTTACAAATGCGTAGCGTGAGTTCAAAACTGTGAGAAGCCAAAATGATTTAGCAGTATTATTCGTCTTTCGCTTTTATTCTTGGTTGGAAGGAGCTCTTTCCTTCTTCTGAGTAATACCCACCAAAGGAATCTATGCTTCAGAAAGTACCAAGGCACTTTTCAGTGTGACCGGTTTGGTGGCAAAGTTATGAAAATTGAAGTAGTTCAGCACAACACGAATTCGGAGTCCTGTATAGCAGATACTCTCATACTTTTTTGTGCACCAGAATCATTTAAGGGGGCCTCTTTAAATACAGATTCGTTGGGTCCTGTCCCAAATCATCTGAATCAGAATTTCCAGGCTGGGGCTTTGGCAGCCATTTTAAACAAGCTGACAGGTGATTGATGCAGAATCAAAGTTTGACACATTGTATTAGATCATAGTTACTCTGACCAGATCCTTTACATCACCCTATGCTAGGCAGCTCATTTTCCCTTTCACCTCTTCTAGTAGTAGTAAGCTTACAGAATAATTGGTGTTCTACAAACTGAATATCTTGTTATCATTTCCTCTTTTTGTCTCTGTTCAACTTTCTGGCAGATCTGGAGTAATCACTGTGGGTGAATGAGATACTAAAGAAAAATTAGTGAAAAAGACGATTGAAAATCAAAGAAATAAAAATTGTTGGATTAGTTAAAATCATTGAGGGAATAAGACTATTTAATGTAGACATGCCTTAAACAATTTTTTACAATTCAAAGAGAGTGTTGTGGGTTTTAATTAAAGAATGTACTTTTATTTTTTCAGATTAAATTTGTACCAGCATCAATAGAATGATGGTTTAGTAATCTCTTATCAATCCAAAAGAACCCTGGACTCTATCAGGAGAGCTGGATCTAATCCTACTATTCTGATTCTATTCTCCCTGAGATGTATTCCTGGTTTTGAGCAATTCATATAATCCTTCAGGACCCTTTTCCCACCTATAAAATAAGGGTATTGATAATCATCTGGTGCGTGTTGCTTTCAAATTATATGATTTGTGGTTATTGACTTTGAAACTTTAAGAATGACATTTTCAATTTTAGTAGCTATAAATCATGAATACTTGGGAAACTCTAGGTGGCATTAAGACAATTATCAAAAATTTATATTCAGAAAGTATTTTAGTTATATAGAATATATAGACTACATTAGAATTATATCATTTATAAAAATAATATAGAGTTATAATTTGAATTTAGAACAACAACTCTGTGATATGTGTTAGATTTTTAATATTCATCTTTACTGACTTTTATCTTGAAATGTGTACATGATGTGTTCCGGATCAGAGACAGATAATCATTATTTACCTTTAATTTATTTTTTATGTGGTGCTGAGGATCGAAACCAGTGTCTCACATGTGCCAAGCGAGTGCTCTACCACTGAGCCACAGCCACAGCTCCTAATCATTAGTGTTTTAAAGCAAATAATAACCACAAGGTTTTCCACACCCTGATTCCCCACCCCCACCCCCCTGTCCTGGGGATTGAACATAGAGGGGCTCTACAGCTGAGTTATATCCCCAGTCCTTTTATTTATTTATTTTTTGGTGGGGGGAGGGTCTCACTAAATGGTTGAGGTTGGCCTCGAACTTGAAATCCTTCTTCCTTCTCCAGAGTCACTGAGATTACAGGTGTGTACTACTGTGCCCAGCCCTACACCCTGATTCTTACTGCAAAGCTTCTCTCAGAAAGCTAAATCAAATATACTACTCATACAAATTTCAGAGTCTGTATCATAGATAAGGAATGGAAAATGACAGACTTCGTCTATTCTTCTTTGTATGTACAGTAAAGAGAGAGTTATCTCCCCCCTTCCTGAAAGGAGAAAACCTTTTTGCTTAATGGATCTGTGGATGATTATAGTCATCCACATGTGAAATAATTAGAGGAAAACCCACCAACTTTCTAAATTTTAAAGTCAATAGTCAAGTGATATTTTAGATTGGGAATAATTAAGGCAAAGGAGGAAAACATATCTGCCAAAGAAAATGTATTGTGGTCTGTAATGGTTTTGTCTCTTGAGGCTGCAAGAAACCAAGACCTTAGCTCATCATTTATTTTTTTCATAGATATATATGAATAATAAAATAAATTAATGAGGCTGTGGCTGTGGCTCAGTGGTAGAGCACTAGTCTCCTACACACGAGGCCCTGGGTTTGATTATTATAAAAATAAATAAAAGAAAAGTAAATAAAGATAAATATAAAAATAAATAAAGATAAAAAATTTAAAGAAAAAAGAAATTATCACTGAAGTATATACAGTTTGGTTTTTTCATACTGACTGATTAACTCTACAAATACATATAACTTATTTTTAATTGTTGAGAAACATAACATTTTGTGGTGTACTTATTCTGTGCAGGTCGTTGCAGTAAATCATGGAGATAGATACAGAAAGTATAGGATTGCATAACCAAAGTACATATTGTAGACTTAAAGGATCAAAGAGGACTTTCCAGAGGAAACTAGTAAGGATGTAAACCTGAAAAAATAGGGGTTAGCTAAGAAAGTTTCCGAAGGAGATGAAAAGTGGGGAGAGAGAAGAAAACTGTCATAGGAAAAGGAGTCAGCTTTTGCAAAGGCCAGAAGTATAGAGAAAATCTAAGAGATTTAATGTCATTACAATGTGGCATTGAGGAAAAAAAGGTGGAAAGAGGATTTATGATACACACAGTTATATATTTGAGAAGTTTATGAATAGGTATGAAGGCAGCTAATAAACATCCCAGCCTAAAATAAACTCAGTGTTAAATTCCTCTGTTTAGTTCTTCAAATCAAATCTCATGTCTTTTCTTTATGAAACTTCTCAAGCCTTCTTTAGACATCACTCCTTTGAAATTCAGTTTTGTCTCTTACATTATTGGCAATTAATCACATTTTCACTTTTCTTTTTAAATAGTACTTAGTTTTTGAACCATTAGTTCCTTTAGTATTTATATTTATCTCTTTAAATATACCAAGCATTCTGGACCTGGACCTTATTAAGCCTTGTATATAATAAAATTTAATAAGAGTTTATTCACTTTTGAAATAATGGAATACCAAAAAAAAAAAGTCTAATTTGAATTTTCCCCTGTAAAGTTTTCTTTGTTAGATGGTTCTTCTCAATGGAGTGGGGCTTTGAGGGATGAATTCAATTCTCAAACTAAACATGCCCTTGATGTACTATGAATTGAAATGCATTCTGCTGTTGTATATAACAAATTAGAACAAAAAAATTAATTTAAAGAAATACTAAAAATACCACCCCCTTTAGAATTGCATTTTCTTGAGGGCCCTTACTGCCATTTATCCTGTTCAAATAGCACATTGTTGATGAGGGCTTCTCTTATTGAAGGGAGTGTGATGCACATGAGAAATTCAGAAGTGAAGGTAGGATTTTATATGGATAATGGAATATGGTCAGTGCACTTATGTATTGTGTTTGACTTCTTTATTTTATCTGTAGGGTAAAGTTTATGGGCAGTTCAGATAAGTGTCAGGCTGGTCACTTGCTTTTTTGGGTACCATTAAAGGAACAATATAAGAAAAAAGTAGTTTTAAAAGGAGCCATTTCTGAGTATTACTCTGCATTAAAAAATGACAAAATCATAGAATTTACAGGGAAATGGATGGCATTAGAGCAGATTATGCTAAGTGAAGCTAGCCAATCCCTAAAAAACAAATGCCAAATGTCTTCTTTGATAAAGGAGAGTAACTAAGAACAGAGTAGGGTCGAAGAGCATGAGAAGAAGATTAACATTAAACAGGGATGAGAGGTGGGAGGGAAAGGGAGAGAGAAGGGAAAATGCATGGAAATGGAAGGAGACCCTCAGAGTTATACAAAAGTACATACAAGAGGAAGTGAGGGGAAGGGGAAAAATAATATAAGGGGGACAAACGAATGTCAGTAGAGGGAGCAGAGAGAGAAGAGGGGAGGGGAGGGGAGGGGAGGGGAGGGGAGGGGAGGGGAGGGGAGGGGGGATAGTAGAGGATAGGAAAGGCAGCAGAATACAACAGACACTAGTATGGAAATATGTAAATCAATGGATGTGTAACTGATGTGATTCTGCAATCTGTATATGGGGTAAAAATGGGAGCTCATAACCCACTTGAATCAAATTGTGAAA